ATTTGTATACCTAACCCTGAATTATTCCCTAAATCTTTAAAATAATTTTTTTAATCATAAAAAATAAAGGCATTGATCATACTGCTAACTAAAAAGACCAAAAAAGGATCGGCACAGTGCAGCCCAGGAGTCTAGTTGTGCCCTGACTGGGCGTGTCCGTAAGTAGCACCTGCTGATGGCCACCTTCCACGTGTAGATGGCAGAATTTGAGTAGAATGAATTGTTATTAATAGCTCAAAAATCTCAAGCGCTGGCTAAATCGGCGAGTTATTTTGTTTTGTGGCGTGTAGGCCTGTGAGTTTCTGTTTGGCTTGACAGGTTTCTTGTAGGTCCTTTGGGACATACCCTGGGTGTTTCTTGTCCACCTGGGAAATTGAGCTGCAGGCGCTGTACTTGTCAGTTACGGTTTGGGAAGACTTTCGATTTCTTAAGTAAAAGGAACCCTTGAGATGCAAAGTGCCATTCTAATGGGATCTGTCATCTAAGGAAGAGGCCTAAAGGGCTTGAGAGGCTGGCTCAATGCAGAGACCACTCCATCACCACATGGATGCCTTCATCTTTCGTGAGATGCAAGCTGGCATCCACATTCAGGAGCTCAGGAAGCTCTGGCAGAGTTGATGAAATTAGAGCTTTTACACTACAGTGGTATGGGAAGTCACTGAGATGGCTGTCATCTTTCTAACAATAAACATAGCATTTTCTTTTCAGATCCCCATTTCAGCCATGGTTAACATTTACCTTATAGTAATAGTCTTTATTTATTAGAGGATATGAAACAAGTATATATTTTGGACAGATGTTTAATGCAGTTTCCTAAAGTTGAATAAATGGGCTGGAGTACATTGACATGTTCACAGCTGCTGCAGCCTCAACCTGCTGGGCTCAGGCAATTCTTCCACCTCAGCCTTCCAAGTATCTGGAACTACAGGTGCGCACCACCATGCCCAGCTAATTTTTTGATTTATTGCAGAGATGAGGTCTCACCAAGTTGCCCGGGCTGGTCTCAAACCCCTGTGCTCAAGCAGTCCTCTCACTTCGGCCTCCCAGAGTGCTTGGATTACAGGTGTGAGCCACCGTGCCCAGTTAAATGTGCTCTTTAAAATAAAAGCTTTACCAGATGTGGTGGCTCACACCTGTAATCCTATCATTTGGGGAGGCAGAGGTGAAAGGATTGCCTGAGCCCAGGGGTTCGAAACCACCCTGGACAACATGGCAAGGCCTCGTCTCTACAATAAAACAAAAAATTAGCCAGATGTGGTGGTGCGCATCTGTAGTCCCAGCTACTCAGAAGGCTGAGGCAGAAGAATCTTCTGAGCCCAGGAGGTTGAGGCTACAGTAGCCATGAGTGTGCCACTGTACTACAGCCTAGATTATAGCATGAGACTCCAACTCAAAAAATAAAAAATAAAAATAACAGCTTTATTGTGATGTAACTGTCTGACAATACAACTTACCTGTTAGACGGTATAATTCAGTGGCTTTTAGTCTATTCATAGAGTTGTGCAACCCCAATGCAGTTTAGAACATTTTCATCTCCCATGCCTCTAGAACCCATACCTACTAAGTATATTTTGTAAAAGGAGAAGTCAATCAAAAAATTAGCTGGTCAGGGTGGCGCATGCCTGTAGTCCCAGCTAATCAGGAGGCTGAGGAGGTCGAGCTGACGTGAGCTGTGATCGTGCCACTGCACTCCAGCCTGGGTGACAAAATGAGACCCTGACTCGAAAAAAAGGAGAAATCACAAAATAAAAATCAACAGTATGATAAATATAATAAAAAAAAGCTAGGTACTAAAATTGACCATTGAATCTCAGTTGTCGACAAAGGACAGACACACTCAAAGGAAATATGACTATTAAACCAAAGCCATGGAAAAAACCACCCTAATTAGTAATCAGAGGCATGCAAATCAAAACAAATTACCAGGTTCCCCTTCTTGTTACCATTTTAATTGCTGAGAACTTTAAAAAAGTGACCAGTGTTGGAGGTAGTACAGTAAAATTTTAAATGTTGCTGGCAGTGATGTAACCTCTTAAAGCAGTGTATCAATGTGTATCAAAAGCTTTCAAAATGCGTATTCCCCCTGACTGGAAAATTCCACTGGCCACTCTGAGGAAGGCAACCCTAAGCACAGAGAATACTGACAAGGATGTTCAGTGCAGTTTCTTGCAACGGCAGGGAACCGGCCGCAGCCTTGGGAACAGGTAACAAGGCGGATGTAGTTCCCTCATCGGTGTGTGTGTCTTCTGCAGAGTCAGCTGAGCTTACAGGTGGGGAAAGAGACAGAGGGAAGGCATGAGTGAGTGGGGGCGCCCTGTGCACACACAGTCCATGGCCCGAAAGCGGTGGGATGCATGTGCTCCTCCCAGGCGGCTAGCGCCCCGCACCTCCTTAGGTGTGAGCGTCACCCTGGGCTGAGTGCCACTTGGCTTTGAAGGTGAGTGGCTTCTGTCCATGGCTCCCCAGCACCAGCCAGCCCATCTCTCTTCAGTGCTCAACCCGGGAAGCCTCTCCCCCTCCCTTTCTCTATGTCTCTTTTGTAAGAAATTTAAAAATTATTATTTTCCGTTTGAAACATTCCACAATTCATTTTGCTGAAATATTCTTTTTATAGACTGTATTTATCATACTTTCTTATTTTAATTTTTAGAAAATCTTTGCTATTCCAAAACAGGAATTGTTGATACTATAAACTTTTATAAATTTTTACCATAGAAGTTTATATTGGCCAGGTGTGGTGGCTAACACCTGTAATCCCAGCACTTTGGGAGGTTGATGTGGGGAAATCACTTGAGCCCAGGAGTTCAGGACCAGCCTGGGCAACACAGTGAGACCTCAGTTCTACAAAAAATAGAAAATGAGCTGTTATGATGGCACACGCCCAGCTGCTTGGGAGGCTGAGGCAGGAGGATCACCTGAGCCCAGGAGGTCAAGGCTGCAGCAAGCCATGATGGTACCACTGCATTTTAGCCTGAGAGACAGAGTGGGACACTGACCCAAAAAAAAAAAAATTTAAGTTTATATACTCATGTACATGACATTTTTTGACCCAGTTCCTTTTATGATGCAGTTACCTTTATGTCCACTTGAACTACTGTGTGGCTACTCAAAGGAATCGTGGCCGGGCTCGGTGACTCAGCCTGTAATCCCATGCTTTGGGAGGCTGAGGTGAGTGGATTGCCTGAGTCCGCGGGTTCGAGACCCGCCTGGGCAACTTGGCAAGACCTCATCTCTACAATAAATCAAAAAATCAGCCGGACGTGGTAGCGCGCTGCCACCTAGTAGTTCCAGCTACTCGGAAGGCTGAGGCGGAAGGATCGCCGGAGCCCAGCAGGTCGAGGCTGCGGTGACCGGGAGCGGCCACTGCACTCCAGTCTGGGCTACAGAGTGAGACTCCAACTCAAAAGAAAAAAAAGGAATCGTTATGAAGATTATGTCATAGAACAGAAAAGTTTATGCCTATAGTCTCAATGGAAAACATAAGATACAAAGTTATAATAATTATAACTAGATAGAAAAATGCTCAGAAACAAAAAGACTAGAAGAAAGAAAAATTAGCTTTCAATTGCCATTTACAGATTGGTATAGTTTAGCTCAGGTATCAAGTAATACAATTGACCAAGTACTTAACGCACACCCTATATGTGTAGTTTTTAAAAAATCAATTTCCATGTAGCTTTTTTTAAACTCATGTGTCCCCTGGTGATCTGTCCCACCTTCCCATTTGATAACTGTGGCTCACTGACTTCTTTGACCACACTGATTGAACTTCAGAGAGAGGAAGTCCAGTTGCTTGTCAGTACCTTAGTATTACTACCAGAATGGTCAATTTTTACTTGGGCTGTCATGTTATATGATGTAAGAGGGCAGTTACTAGTAATGGTTCTTAGGAAAATTCTTTGAGCCAAGAGAAAAGTTGGAGAATTCCCTTTGGAGATCAATTAAGTTGAGGCTTACAAAAGTAGGATAAGAATTAGACCTTAATATTCTTGTTAAGAGTTCTCTTCTGAGGCTGGGCACGGTGGCTCACGCCTATAATTCCAGCACTTTGGGAGGCCGAGGTGAGAGGACTGCCTGAGTCCATGGGTTCGAGACCAGACTGGGCAACTTGGTGAGACCTCATCTCTACAATAAGTCAAAAAATGAGCCAGGCATGATGGTGTGCCTGTGGTTCCAGCTACTTGGAAGGCTGGGGTGGAAGGAACAACTGAGCCCAGCAGGTCGAGGCTGCGGTGGCCAGGAGCGGCCACTGCACTCCAGCCTGGGCAACAGAGTGAGACTCCAACTCAGAAAAAAAAAAGAGTTCTCTTAACTGATTAGAGTCTGGTTAACAAGATGTGCTGGAGATATGTCTTCAGAAGCCCTCAGTAAAGAGTCACGGCCCAGGCTAGGCACAGTGGCTCATGCCTGTAATTCTAGCACTTTGGGAGGCCGAGGTGAGAGGACTGTCTGAGTCCATGGGTTCGAGACCAGTCTAGGCAACATGGCGAGACCTCATCTCTACAAAAGTAAAAAAATAATAATAATAACCAGACGTGGTGGCACCTGCCTGTAGTCCCAGCTGCTCCAGAGGCTGAGCGGGGAGGATCACCTGAGCCCAGGAGGTTGAGGCTGCAGTGGCTATGAATGTGCCACTGCACTCTGACTCAAACAAAAGAAAAAGAGTCATGGCCCACAATGGGGACAGTTTCAGAGGTCAGCCTGGAAAGCTAAACTGGACCACGAGTTCCCCGCAATGCCAGAGAGCTTGGGCTCACCGTCCAAGTTAACAGGGTGCACTTTGAGAAGGTGCAAGTGCCACTTTGCACTGTCGCCTGCTGACACCTGTCAAGGTTCAAGAGAAGAGACGTGCCGGGTCAGGGACAGGGGTGAAGACAGCAAGGGTACCAAGGGTGGTGGAAGGAGAGAGGGGGCCCATGACTGTTCCCAATGCAGTGCAATGGGCCACGGGTCCTTGGCAGCCCCCGCCAGGCCCCTCCTGACCCTGCGCCCTCCCACAGGTGACCCCGCGCTCAGCATGAGCCACTGGATGTTCCACCAGCAGGCCCTGCAGGAGTATATTCTCATGTGCTGCCAGTGCCCTGCTGGAGGGCTCCTGGACAAACCTGGAAAGTGAGTGCTTCCTCCTGGGGGAGGGGGCAGGTAGGGGAGGAGGGTACCCCGGGCCTGCTCAGAACCGGACTTGAAACCCAAGGCGTCCCTCCCCGTGGGCCGCTCGGTGCCCCTGCTGCGTGGGAGAAAGCCCCCTGACTGGCCACCCCGATAGCCTTTGAGGCCACTGGTCCCGGCACCCCTGGCCGCCATCTTACCCCCCGCCTGTGTTACAACCCCTCCCCAGACAGCTAAACAGATTGCTGGGTTGGTTGCTTTTCTCTCCTTTTTTTTCTTCAACCAAACGGATTTAAATAGAACAGGATAGGAATTTTAAACCCTGGAGACTGTCATCACAATTACTATAGCGTAGATTACGTGGCTAAACTCAAGCCCGAGGTTCCCTGCGGGCCATAAGGAAAGGAAAAGGGGACTCGATCAGGCCTGTCCCTCCGTCTCCCTGGCCAACACGTGCTGCTGCTCTCAGCATCCCAGGGAAAGCCCAGCCTAGCAGTTTATCAGCAAGAATGTGGTCCGTGTCTAGGTGTTCGGGTATCTTCATGCAGCTCTAGCCCTGCCTCCGGAGCCCCTCCAGATGGCGTTGGGTACTGATGAGAAGGCTGGAGTTCCTGCCGCCGGGCAGGGTGGGCGTTTGCGGCTTCTAGAAATGCAGGCAGAACTGGGCCTCCTGCAGCCACGGGAGGTCGGGGTGGGAAGTGTGGGTGCCAGGGCCTCTGCTGGGCGTGGCCGCACTGGGGGGAGAAGCACCTGCTCATCCACCTGTCCCCCACCCCGACCCCCAGGTCGCGGGACTTCTATCACACCTGCTACTGCCTCAGCGGCCTGTCCATAGCCCAGCACTTCGGCAGCGGAGCCATGTTGCACGATGTGGTCCTGGGGGTGCCTGAGAACGCTCTGGTAAGGCGGGCGGGGCTTCACTCCCCTTCTCGCGGGGTCCCCAGGGATGGGCTTCACACGCTGCAGAACTGCTCTGCCTCTCCTGGCAGACGGGCCAGGACACACGCAGCCCCCAGCTCCTCGTGTCCTCAGCCATTAGGAAGGATGGGACTGCACAGGACACACACACCTCTGGGCATACTTGGGTTCCAGGTGGGGCATCTGCTCTGTGCCTTCGTCCCAGGGTTGAGGCCCTGCCTCCCTCTGAAGGAGGCTGTAGAGACTTGTCCCTCTGAGGCCGGGCGTCCCAGTAGGCCCATGATCGCATCTGCAGCCACCCAGCACTGGCCGTACAGCCCACTCCATCCCGCCCAGAGGGCTTGACTAGACGCTGTCCCTGCAGAACGAGACCCCGAAGCTCTGCCGGTGCCTGGCTCATCCCTTCATGGCTCACAGCACAGCTGCTGATGTGTTTAACATGTCTGTCTGCTCCCCTCAAAACCACCAGCCCCGTGAGGATGGGGTGCTCACACTGCACCAGTCCTAGCACAGTCCAGCAGGCACAGCTCTCAGTCTAGACGAGAGCCTGAGACATGAATCCTGCAGAGGCTGTCCACAGTCATCAGTTGACAGGGCTGTGCTGACCGTCGTGGGCATGTGTGTGTGGTTCCACCTTGACAAAGCCCCTCTTCTCCCAGTGTCAGCATGGCTAGCTGTGGCCACGTAGGCGGCTGCCTTGTTTTCCATGGTGTCTCTTTAACCTTCCCTCTTTATTTCTTTTAGTTGGGAAACACTTAAAACAGAAGAAACAAATGACCAACAGATAAAAAGATGCTCAGGCCCCAAGTGTAGTGGCTCACATCTGAAATCCCAGCACTTTGGGAGGCTGAGGCAAGAGAATCACTTGAGGCCAAGAGCTTGAAACCAGCCTGGGCAACATAGTGAGACTGCATCTCTACACTAAATAAGAAAAATTAGCCAGGTGTGGTGGTGTGTGCCTGTAGTCCCAGCTACTCAGTAGGCTGAAGCAGAAGGATTGCCTGAGCCAAGGAGGTCAAGACCACAGGGAGCCATGTGTGCCACTGCATTTCAGCGTAGGCGACAGAGACACCAACTCAAAAACAAACCAAAAAAAGACGCTCAACTTCATTCTTTTTTTTCTTTTTTTGATTTGGAGTCACTCTGTTGCCCAGGCTGGAGTACAGTGGCATTCTCAAGGCCACCACAGCCTCGACCTGCTGGGCTCAGGCGATCCTTCCACCTCAGCCTTCCAAGTAGCCGGAACTAAAAGCATGCGCTACCATACCTGGCTACTTTTTTATTTTATGGTAGAGATGAGGTCTTGCCAAGTTGCCCGGGCTGGTCTCGAACTCACGGGCTCAGGCAATCCACTCACCTTGGCCTCCCAAAGTGCTGGGATTATAGGCTGAGCCACTGAACCCGGCCTTTTAAAAAAATATTTTATTAGAGATGGGGTTTCACTATATTGCCCAGGCTGGTCTTGAACTCCTGACCTCAAGTGATCTACCTTGGCCTCCCAAAGTGCTGGGATCACAGGCATGAGCCACTGTGCCTTGTCCCAAGTCTTAACATTGTCCCTGTTTGCCTCTTCTGTGACCCTTTTCCAGTCTCTCCCCTCCCTCCTTTCCTACAAGTCGCCTGTCCCAAATTTGACATGAATCATGCTTGTGGCTGTTTTTGAACCATTCCTGCATATGAGTGTATCCCTAAGCAATACATATGCAGTTGTTTTGCATGTTTGCACCTACTATACTGACTATTGTGCATTGCTTTTTTCTCTGACCATTATATTTTTGAGGCTTATCCATTTTAATGACCACATGGTATTTCTTTGTATAAATGTACCCAAATTTATTTCTCTATTCTCCTGCTAGTTAACTTTTTTTTTGGAGTTGGGGTCTTACTCTGACACCTAGTCTGGAGTGCAGTAGCACTATCACAGCTCACCATAGCCTCTACCTGCTGGGCTCAGACAATTAGCCACCATGCCTGGCTAATTTTTTTTTTATGTATTATAGAGATGAGGTCTCACCATGTTGCTCAGGCTGGTCTCAAACTCCCGGGCTCAGGCAATCCTCTCACCTTGACCTCCCAAAGAGCTGGGATTACAGATGTGAGCCACTGCGCCTGGCCTGATGATTCCTTTGACTACATTCTCAGAAACATTTCACAGGCAGAGCATGTGGGTGTTTCCAGGGACCCCAAAGTGACTCACTGGCACCCCTTCTTCTCTCTGCAGCAGCCCACCCATCCCGTGTACAACATCGGGCCAGATAAGGTGATCCAGGCCACCACGTACTTCCTGCAGAAGCCAGTCCCAGGCTTCGAGGAGCTGCTGGATGAGACGCCAGCAGAGTCTTCCACTGACTAGAGGACCCGGGCCGGCTCCACTTACCCCTGCCCAGTAAGAAGAGGTTTATGCATTGATACATAGTATGTTCTGGGCTCCACGAGCCTAGCCACTATGGAGCTATGATTCTGTCCTTTCTTGTCAAACAAAACCAAACCAGTGGCTGTGGGTTTGGAGAACACAGTGACGCGGTTTTAAAAATTCTTCCCACACCTGTCAAACCAAAAATCTCGCAGGCAGGCGGTGTGGCTGGGGAGTGGTGCATGCTGGGAGCAAGCGGCCCCTCCCCACCCTCGCTCCAGCCTGGACAGACGTCCAGACATGGATGGCGTCTCTGGCTATCACGGCATCCGGAGCCATGGCTGTGCCTCGCGCCTGCACGCCACCATGACATCACCAGACACGGTGCCCTGGAAGTAGGTCTGCTCCATGCTGTGGCAAGGTTTGGGGTCTTACCAGAATGAGGTCTCTGGAAAAGGCCGTTTTGGGGCTGTGCTGGGGGTGCCCCTGCCTCTCACCTGCCACCCTGCTTATTTGCACGGACAAGGAGCTGGGGTGGAAAGAGATGGGTCTCCCTGAGTCGAGAGCCCCCCAGCCCTGGAGAACTAAGCTGCGCCTCTCTCCAACGCCATGCCCAGTGCCCAGGCAGGACTTGCTTCAGCCATAGGTGTGGCAACTCAGACCCCGGAAGCCAATTACGGAGCGGAAAACGACCCTCTAGTCCGACTTGTGCCAGAAGCAGCAGCCCAGTGACCCCCATCATGGATCATGAAGCCCCCTCTGATGTCCTCAAGCCTGTGGCCACTCTGCTGGTTTCCATCTTTCTCTCACCAGACTCCAAGCCTGCCCTCCTCCAAGACAGTGTTGTCTCGTCTCACCCAGAGTATTAACACTACTAAGTCTCTCACCTTAATTTATGACTCAGGATTTATTCTCATCCCACCCACTTTTGGCTTGCCGAAATAAAGTCACGCACCGGGTTACCTGACTGCCACGGAGACAGTGGCCTTGGAAACTGACGGAGGCCACAGCAGTGCTGCCTGGCATGCTTGGGCCCTGGCAGCCTCCCACGTGGAGCCTTGCCTCGGCCAGCAGGGTGTCACGTTGGGCCATCTGTCCCCTGCTGCAGTGACAGCGAGCCCATGCCGCTGACCCAGCCTTTGTGTTGGCAGCTGCGGGCTGTGGGCAGACAGGAGCAGGGAGAGGTGGTCTCAACACCAACTGGTCACTCGCTGCCTCAAATTCCCTGTCTTGGTGTATCGGGCTATGTATTACCTCCTTGAAATAATAAAAGAATAACATTTTCCACTATCGCTCTCACTTGCATTCTGTACCAAGAAGACACCTCCAGAACGCCCCGTGTTGGGAGCCACTGCAGGTGCTCCTGGGAACACATCTCCCACGTGTGAGGTTCCAGAACATTCATGTTGGAGGAAGGACTAAGCTCCATGCTCTTGGGCTGCCCCTCCAGTTAGGGAAGCGCGGACCCAGCACGGAGTGGGGGCATTGCCTTCCGAGCTCCCTGGTGTGTCCAGCGGGCCCTGCCCGGCTCTCCACGCCGCACCTCACAGTCTGTGTCTGTCTCCGGCCTGTGAGCAGGTACCTATCACATGCTCTAAGACATCGGGGCAACTAACAGCAAATCTGACCCAAACTGGCTCGATGGCAAGGAGGATACGTGTTGACTCCAAAACTGCAAATAAGTTTCCCATCTGCCCTCCATCTACTTAGCTCTGACCTCAGTGCCCCTTGGGACTGTGAAACACCAGAGACAACAGCTCCAGCCCCACATCCTCTTGGGGTCAGGTTGGGCAGACGAGCACCTGGCACTACCCCAGGCTTCCTTCCCAGTGAGGGTCACTGTGTCTCACTGGCCTTGACCAAACCAAGAGCCCTTCTGAGCAGCTTCATTGAGGCTTCATTGTAGCACATAGTCTCAAGAATGGGGAAGGACCGGAGCCCCCAATGTAAAGCTGGCTGTCGCCAGAGGGGGAGGGGCTTACAGAGGCAAGTCACCACCCCCTCTACAGCGGATGACTACTCCCGCCCTCCCCAGCTGGGGCAGCCACAGCTTGCCTGGGCTGCACCCTCCTCCCCCAGGCCCCGGTTGGCTACCCACCTATTTGGCCTGTCTCACCTTGCCTCGGTACTGTGTTCAGGCAAGTCCTGGACGTCTGATGACGGGGAAGCAGCTCTGTTAGGGAGGGAGGCACATGTGGCCTAGGGCTCCTGTCACCACTCCCCCAGCTAGCAGGAAGCCAGTCTGAGAAGCCAGCACACACCGCCCTCCGGTTGACTGGGACACTGTGGAACCCTGACCACGTGGCTCCAAGACCCACCCTGCCTCTGGGTTCTCAGCTATGTGAGCCCACCTGGGCTGGATTTACTGTTACTAAAACCTTCTGACGCAGTCATGTGTCGCTTCATGACGAGGATGCATTCTGGGAAATGTGTCATTAGGTGATTTAATCATTGTGTGAACATCAGAGAGTGAACTCACGCGACCAGAGGGTGCAGCCTATTACACACCTGTACACCACACACCTAGGCTGCGTGGTGTAGCCTACTGCTCCTAGGCTACAAACCTGTGCAGCCTGTGACTGTACTGAGTACTGTAGGCAGGTGTAATACAATGGTAAGTATGTGTGTGTCTAAACGCAGACAAGGTACAGGAAAAGCATAGTATTGGCTGGGCGTGGTAGCTCAGGTCTGTAATCCCAGCTCCTTGGGAGGTCAAGGCAGGAGGATTGCTGGAACCCAGGGGTTCGAGATCAGCTCAGGCAACATAGCTAGACCTCGTCTCTACAAAAAATGTATATATATTAGCAAGGCATAGTGGCATGCGCCTGTAGTCTCAGCTACTTGGGCGGGGCTGAGGCAGGAGGATCGCTTGAGACCAGGAGTTCGAGGCTGCAGTGAGCCATGATTGCGCCACTGTACTCCAGCCTGGGTAACAGAGTGAGACTCCATCTCTTAAAACAAGCAAGCAAAACACTGTTAGAAACACACAGGACACCATCCTATACGCAGGCTGTTGTTGACTGAAACGTCGTTAGGTGGCGCATGACTATACAAAACCAGCCTAAATCGGCCCCAGGTCAAGGCCTTACTGGCCTCTCCCACCACATCCGCCCAACACAGCCCCACGAGTCCCTCCTAATCTGCTGCCTCTCTTGATCCTTGCCTCAACGGCATGAGACGGTAGGGCAGGTGCGTTACCCACATTGTACGACTGGAGAAACAGGCCAGAGAGCTTTACACACCCAGCTTTCCAGCCATCGAGTGGGAGTCTGAGCCTGAGCCCAGACCTGCTGTCTCCACAGCCTGTGCTCTGCCACCCCCTGGCCTCTGCAGGGTAAGAACGAGCTGGGACTCGGTGTCCTTGTTTACCTCCAGGCTGGGCAGCGGGAGCCCTGAATGCCACCCATCTCTCAGCAGCAAGAGGATGGGATGGCAGACACAGGGTCAGGCTTCCCGCCCTTCCAACGGGCCCCTCACTTTCTGCCAAGTGCGTAGCATAGTGACGTCCCTGCACCAAGTGCGTGTCACCTATGCGGGGCAATGTGGCGGGACCTGGGGCGCGGCAGTGGTGAGTCCGTCAACGAGCCCTGGCAGCAGCCAGCCTCTCCGGCCAGCTCAGCGCATCTACCCGGCTCCTGGACGTCCTGTCACCTCCCCGCGGCAACCGGCCTTGCCTCTTCCACCTCCTGGGGACTAGCCAGCAGCCTGCAGTTCCTCCCTCCTGTTCCTGGGGCACATCCAAGAGCAAAGCCAGGTAGGGCAGGGACAAGGAAAGCTCCTCACTAGCCCAACTTCCCTTGTCCTCTGACCCCCTGAAAAACACAGTTCTTATAAAATAATGACAGAATGCATCCTTTTTTTCCCCTTTAAATCGGAGACTCACTCTGTCACCTAGGCCGAGTGCAGTGGCATGCTCACGGCCACTGCAGCCTTGAGCTGCTGGGTTCAGACAATCCCTCCACCTCAGCCTTCCAAGTAGCTGGAACCACAGGCCTGGGTCACCACACCTGGCTAATTTTTTATTTATTGTAGAGACAAGTTCTTGCCAAGTTGCCAGGCAATCCTCTTGCCTCCGTCTCCCAAAGTGCTGGGATTACAAGCGTGAGCCACCATGCCAGGCCTAAGAAGAACACATTCTTAAAAAATCACCTTTATTTTAGAATTGGTTGATGCTGACAGAATGGGTACACAGAGTTCCCATATGCCTATTAGCCGGTTGTCCTTACTGTTAACATCTTCAATTAAGAAGGAGCATTTGGCACCAGGCATGGTGGCTCACACCTGTAATCCCAACACTTTGGGAGGCAGAGGCGAGAGGATTACCTGAGCTCATGGGTTCGAGACCAGCCTAGGCAATATGGCAAGACCTCGTCTCTACAATAAATCAAAAAATTAGCGGGTGTGGTGGTACATGCCTGTGGTTCCAGTTATTTGGAAGGCTGAAGAAGGACCGCCTGAGCCCAGCAGGTCAAGGCTGCGGTGGGCCATGAGTGTGCCACTGTATTCCAGCCTGGGCAACAAAGCAAGACTCTGAGTCAAAAAAAGAAGGGGCATTTGTCACAATGAATGACACAATACTGATACATTATCATTATTTTAGAGACGGGATCTTGCTCCGTTGCCCAGACTGGAGTGCAGTGGCATGATTGTAGCTCACTGCAGCCTCAAGCTCCTAGGCTCAAGCAGTCCTCTCGCCCCAACCTCCCAAGTAGCTGGGACTACAGGCGCCACCACGCTGGCATTTGTATTGATATATTAGTAGTACCTAAAGTCCATACTTTGAACTCCCCTAGTTTTCACTGAATGGCTTTTTGGGGTCCCAGGATTCCACTCAGGCACCACATTACATTTAGTCACCGCATCTCCTTAGGCTTCTCCTGGCTGTGACTGCCTCACAGACTTTCCTTGTTTCTGAGGACTGTGATGGTCTTAAAGCACACTGGTCAGGTACTTTGTAGAATGTCCCCCATTTGGGATTTGTGTAGAGCTTTTCTCATGACTGAAGGGGGGACAGGGCTTTTGGAAGCAGGTCACAGAGGTAAAGTACCACTCTCATCGCCTCATATCAGGGGCACATGCTACCATCACGTGCACGCTGTATCAGCCCTCACTGCCAGCCGAGGCGACGGTCGTCGGTTTCTGCCAGAGGTCGTGTTCTTTCCCCTTTCCATCAGGTACTTTTTAGTAGGAAATGGCCACTTGAGCCCACACTTCTGGAGTGGGAAGTTACACTCCATATCCTTGAGGGCAGCATACCTACATAAATTATTTGAAGTTCTACATGGGAGATTTCCATTTATTTCTTTCCATCAGTACGAACTCATGAATATTTATTTTACACTTTGGGATATGTTCGCACACTACGTAGCTTATTTTGTGACTCAAATTGTTCCAGCTTTGGCTGCTGGCAACTCTTTCAGGGGCTCCTGTGTCCCTCTGACACAACCACATACTTTCAGTCATAATAATAATAATAATGCATTTGAACCATGCTTTTTTCCTTTTTTTTTTTCTGAAGTCTCACTCTGTCACCCAGACTGGAGTGCAGTGGGACACTCCTGGCCACCACAGCCTTGACCTGCTGGGCTCCGGTGATCCTTCCGCCTCAGCCTTACAAGTAGCCGGAACTACAGGTGCGCACCACCACGCCCGGCTGATTTTTAGTTTATTGTAGAGATGAGGTCTTGCCAAGTTGCCCGGGTGGGTCTCGAACCTGTGGGCTCAGGCAATCCGCTCACCTCAGCCTCCCAAAGTGCTGGGATT